ATTATGCGCAGTTAAAGACTAGTACCTCGGAAGTACTAGTTTCCGGAAACCGTGGGGCAAGAGCGGGCGTCTGATCGCGTTTCCGGTGGCATCCGGCACCCACCCATGCCCCATTGCGAAAAGGGTTTTTTTCCCCGAAGTCTGCAGGGATGCGCACAAGCACCCAACGGGGCATGCTCATACTTCAGGTTAAAAAAACACACACAACCCCGTTTGCCGTGCTGCGCCGCTTCTTTAGCGTGTCATGTGATCGGCACCTCCCCCCTAACCACGGGACCTCGATGGGTCAGCGAGGGGACGCCTGATCGCGCAGTCACGCGTTATTTCGCTGTGGGGCAAACAGCCACACCTCCCCCCACGATATCCGGCCCGTGTGACTGGGGCCCAGGTTGAGGAAGTGGCTAGGAGTGCTGCCTTCTGTTTATATTGAGTGTGCCGGCTGTGCCCCTATTTTGATTTTGTAGACCTTGCAACGCTGATCCAGGCCACTGCAGTGTTAAAGCTAGATTATTGTAATGTGTCATATGTGGAGCTACCCTTGAACTCTTTGGAAACCTCAGTACAGAAAGCTGTTGCAAGATTATTAACTGGCTTATGCTACTTGATGACACTGATGTTTATTTTACTATGCTCCAGTGCACATGATTATTCTGTAAGCTGCCTGTGGAAAGGAGGGTGTAATGATTCCTTGTTTTATATGTGTGTGTGTCTCTTTAAAAGTTTGGTTGCACGGCTGAGGTGTATTAGAGTGGTTGAAGAGACAAGAGTGGTGTGATTGGTGATTGACAGAGAGGGGGAGGGGTTTTGGAAGTGGTTCTGAGTGGATGAATATGTATGTCTGTCAAGAGTGACAGTTACAGGTTTGACAGTTGATAAAGACAGTTGTTAAGAGAGTTCGTTCTGAGGTCTGTGGGAGAAGCAGACTTGTATGTGATATAAGAGAGTTAAGTTATGTGTACGAAAGAAGTGAGAAGCAGTTCTGTGTGTAAGCAGTTAAGAACAGCCGAGGTTGTTCTGAGAGAATAGGAAAAAGTAAATGAAAGCTAAATTGAAGAGTTACAAAGTTACCTGAAAGATCCCTGTCAATAAGGGAGCAGATTGTGGGTGAAACACCAAGCATGGGTTCAGTATTTAAACCGTACTAGTTACATTGTTCTACTCTTTTATATATGAATTACTTCAATAAATCTTCTTAATTTATTTAAGTATATCAGCTCTGAAAGAAATACTTCCCAAGACCACATAGTTCCCCATAAGCCTTACACTCGACCTACCTACCCAGTAATAGCTAAAGTGAAGTATAAAGGTTTGGAAAGCCTTAAATTTCCTGGTGGCAGCCGGATATACCCAGTAGAACAAAACATAAAGTACACTTTTAAAGGGAAATCAGTCCTCCCCAGATAAGTCGTCCCAAGGGGCCTGTGGAGACCAAGGATATAAATATTTTAAATAAAATGCCTCTTTTCCCTCACAGCCTGGTCTTTGGAGGCCTATCTGTGGCCAACAAGCACAAACTATGCATCTGCTCTTTGTCGGGGGCCGAGTGCAGTTGCAGTCATTGTTTATAGTCAGCATCAGTGTTGGTCCAGAAGTCAGGCAAGGCAGAGTCATTCAGTCCAAAGCTGTACACGAGAGCAAGCAGGTCCAAGATCCAAGTCCAAAGCTGGTCTGAAGGTCACTGGGGTGAAGCACAGTTAGGTGGTGACTTGTTGCTTCCACACAGAGCAGTCTCCCTTGACTGGCTTTTATAAGCCTCTGCTGGAAGGTCTTACTTGCAGCCAGCTGCTTGGGAATAACCCTGCAGCTACTCATCATCAGCAAACCACTGGCATCAGGCCAGGAGATGTGCTTTTTGTCTTCTAAGCTTTCGTCTCCGGTGCTCAAAGGGTGTGGGTGAAACTGGAGCACTGGTAATGACCACCTGGGTTTCATCTGTTGGAATGGGGCTGGAAGGTGCAGGTGGCTCCGTATCTGCTGTCAGCTGTGAATTTTGACAAGCCTGCAGTTCATCTTGCTTGCCAGCTTCTTCTTAAAGATGGCTACACAGGACTCTTCTTCTCCTGAGGAGTCCGTCTTTCCTGACTGACCCACAACACTCTTGTACTTTAGGTGGACTGGGGGGGGATATAGCTTGAGGCTGAGCCCCTCCCTCTATTTTTCCTCCTGCTCTGCCTATGTATGCAGTTGCAGCCAGGGACACAAACACAAGATGAGCACAGAGTTCCACCACGGTGAGGAGCAGGCCAACCCAGCCCAGCAGGTTCACAGCCCATCCATCACTCTTCCCCCCCCCCTTTCTTGGTGCCCAGCCATTCCCCACGAGTCATCCAGTGTTCCTAATTTGGGAGAGGCAGTCTGGAGCCCCCCCCCCCGCCGCCCACTCACAAAAAATGAGCTTCCTTGAGAAGAGGGGTTTCCATGCTTCAAATGTGTGCCTAGGACATCAGAGGCCAGCCTGGCAGGATGAGAGCTAGATTGTGAGAAGGCACAGGGAGACAGGGTTCTGCACTGCAAGCATGTGAGTAGAGCATTAGGAAAGGGGGTGCATAAGGCCCCAGGTTCTGTCCCCGGCATCTCCAGTTTAAGGGATCAGATTTAAGGCTCCGGTTTTAATTCAGTTTACCTCAGTAGTTATAACAATTATTTGTCTCTTTATTGTATACTGAAGGTAAATGATGCTGTTAGAAGGGATGAAATATTGATACCTTTGTAGGATTAAAAAAACGTAGCCAAGAATTTTCTCAAAATAGAGGACATAGTAATGAAATATTATTGCAATGGGACAGCCTTTGTTGAACTTTTATGATGTAATATGCAGTTGTTAAAATTTTGCTAAAGGGGAAAGGTATGTCCAGGTATTATGGGCATTTAAAACCGAAGGTATCTTACCAGGGGTTAATACTATTATTTTTGGGGAAGTATAAGGTCCTGGAAAAAGCAAAAAAAAAAAGCAGCAGCAGCTTGAACTTAAAGGAATAAAGATGATTTTAATTTATTGCCTCCTTTGAATACACTTGTTTTTATTATATTACTGCAATTCTGAATAAATACAATGTGTTATCTTTATAGCTTGTCTAATTTTTTTTGCTAGTTTCCCCCAATATTTATTTACCATAGTTTTTCTTCTTATTGCTAGATTTTTTATAGCTTATTGTGAGGTCTTGAAGGAACTCACTCTCAACAACGCTGTCTTGGCAGTGATTTGTTTATTGAGAGATTAAGAGATTTCAAGCATGGACGGAGTTGTGTCAGAACTGAGGCCTTTGGCACCAGTCCTGCAAATATTCAGGTTTCGAATGACACCCCCACCCCCCAGTGACCCAGTCCAATCAGCCCATTCAATCAGCCCACCTAAACCTAGGGCACTTCTTTAGCCCTCCTCCACCACCTGCGAGCCTACACTTACGTTATCTGCTAAAGCCGGCTAGTGGAGACTGGCACTCAAGGTCATTGTGCTTTCTTCCCCCTTGGAAAGCAGTTGCAAAGGAGCGCAAAAAGCAGTCCTCTGTACACACGAGATACACACACACTCCCCCCCCCCAATTCCCATCGTGAAAGAACAAAGCAATGACAATACAGTACAGGCAGTGAAAGCAGAGACATATGAAATCCATGGCAAACTAGGGCCCAAGTTTGACACGCCCTAACTACCCAAATTTTTCCTTTAAAAAGATTCCTCCACCACCACCCCCTTTTGAAGAGTTGTTGAGAAATTTCAAATCCTTATATAACCTAAAAATATTAATATTGGTTGGGCTGCATCAAAAATAACGCGTCTATAGTTAAAAGTTTGTTTATTGGGCTTGATAAGTAAATATATCCCAACAAAACAAAGATTGATGGTACATGATCTGATTATGCTCCCAAGAATGTTTATAGCTAGTCATTGGAGATTTTCAAGTTCATTAAACATTAAAAATTGATCATATGGAAAGTAGTGAAAATGGCAAAGTTTGGCAAGAACTAGTGGACTTGCATGATGGGAGACTAGAGAAATCTTATTTTGCTCAGAGGTGGCAACCTTTCTATAACTTCCCGAATAGGGGAGTGTCACTTAACTGTCAATATCTATAATTGTGCAGGGTTTTTTTTAGATGCCTCATCAGGGAGCTAGGGGCCAGGGATGTGAAATACTTCTATAAGACTTCTATAGCTAAAAAGCGCACTTCATAATCCACAGGTTCAGTAACTGAAACCACAGGAAAATAATATATATATGAAGGGACTTACCAGCAAAAACTTGAAAAATGACAGACAAAAACACACACGGTGATGACAACTTTTCAGAATGCAGTATCCCGGTAGTGTAGAGCTCTGGTAGCGTATTTACTAAATGTTCTAGTAGTTTTCACCAGAATTCAGCACCCTGCTGAGGCAGAAACTTGGGAGTGCCATTTGTCAGCATGGTGCCATCGCCTGGTCAGTTGTCAATAAGTGAACATTGTGGTCAGACGGGCCCACCTCCAGGAGCCCCCCTTGCCTCTTAGCTGCCCCTGGGAACCACTGCACTAGGCCAAAGGGGGGGGCGGAGAGTCCAGGCTTCTTTGCACCTGGGTCACAAGGCTTGTTTGAGTGTTTTCGGTGTCCCTTAGCAGCAGCTGCCTGAAAGTCTCCTTTAGAGCACTTGGAAGGACAGAATGTTTCTGCCTGCTTGTTCCTGTGCCCCTGGTTCATGGGATGCCACGTCAATGTTTCAGGGAGCCATGTGACTCCAGCTGCAATGCCCCCCAGTTCAGCCTTCTGTGCCATACTGGCTTCTTGCTGCCTCTCTGCGTGAATTCTGGCCCAGGGGATGGTTGAGCCACTCATTTGTTTCCCAGTTGTTGATCAGCAACAGCTGGGGGGCCGGAGGGCGAGTTCTGCAACCGAACCCCTTTCCTAGCCTTGTTCGCTGGCCTTTGGTGGTCGCTGTGGAACGACTGATCCAGTTTCTCGGGTTTCAACGTTCCCGAGCGGATGCAGCTCCTCTAAGGGCCTTGTCCTGTCTTTCCTCTCTGCAGTGTACGTTGTGGAAGAG